TTGGTTCTTAAAAGACTAGTTACAAGGAAATAATAGCTATTCCATCTTGTTTCACTTGGAACAACTATACTAAAATACCTTTCATATGTTATTTTTTATTAATTACATAATTGCCTAATAAAATATTTGTTATTTACATTTTTAAAGTATACAGCTAGTTGAATTGCTTTATCTATTATACATTTTAAGTCAGTTGATTCTTTAAATACTTTACCTATACACAGGTTTAGCTAATGAGCATAACAAAGGAGAAATACAATATCTCTATAATTTTGCCTTAATCTTCATCTAGTATTAATATAAAATATATATATAATTAAATTAGAAACTAATATAAATTAGATAAAAATAAAAATACCTAGCAGCAGCATATGGTCCTGCATTGTCTATAACAATTGCAATTACATTTACATTTATATTCTTTAATTCATCAATTATATCTTCTGTTTTTTCTATTACTTTAAGATAGTTCTCTCTCTCTGTACTAATATCCATTACTTTCCATATATAGGGTTTTCCCTCTGAAGTAACTATCATTACACCTATTAGCTATTCATTATTAACATTTATCCATCCATCGAATGTAAGAGTAGTACTAACAAAATCTTTATGAAGAGCTTTATATATTCCTATATCATATTCTTAAATAGCAACTTTTAAAGATGATCCACTAAGAGTTTGACGATCTGGAAGTTTTATTAGAGGATTTAAGAAATTGAACAATTCATATGCTTCTGGTTTATTTATCCAATTAAAAGCCTAATCACAAACAATAGTAAGCCTTAACAAAAGGATTTTAAATTTTTTATAATCTTCTTGTGATAATAGACGAACAATATAATTATCAAGTAGGCTAAAAGAAGAGAAGAATCGTACAATAGTTTTTCAAATAGATGATTGTGATGAAGTAGTTATAGTATCATATAATAAACCTGAAAAACATATTGATAAATATTTTATATATAATAACTTAAATAAATTAAATTAACTTATTCTTACTAGATTGTTTAGTTGATTCATTATTAGACAAGTCAAAGACTTTTTGCCTCTCTTCAGGAGTTGTATGTGCTATAAAATTTATGCATTTTTTTAAGATGCCTAATAACTCTATCTTTTTTATTTGGAAAATATATTTTTTCCCATTAATCTTATCTAATACATCAACACATACCTTATAATAAACCTTATAATTACTTTTATTAATCTTTTCTCCTATACTTCTAATAATATAAGGTTCTA